GAAACAGGGCCCAGCTCCGGGCAGCGGGTGCTGCGGGGAGGGAAGGGTTTTCTGTAAGCCCCAGGGCCCACACGTAGGGCTCAGCACCTTCCCTGGTGCCAAGCAACCCACCCAAGTGCCCAGCATCCCCCTCCCAGGCTGGGACATAACCCATAATCGGCAAGGGACAGCTCAGGGGACCCAACTGCTGCAAGGCTGGGCTGCTCTGTCCCCCTTGGGGACTCCCCAGGACATAAGGCAGGCACCAGCAGCTATGCTGGGAGCTGCTCTCCCACGCCGAGGGGCACGCTTACCTGCTGTGGGGCTCCGGGAAGGACAGGGGACGGCAGGGTGGTGACACAAACTCTTCCTGTACTAGAGCCCAATGAAGGGTGGGGAAGAGCTGAGCTGCCCCGCAGGTCCAAATGGGTCAGGAAAATGGAGGCAGATGGAGGCCAGGAGAGCAGCTGAGTGTTAAACTTTAATAGAAATCCTTGAGAAACAAAGAGAAAATAGAGAGCAGAGCCCAGGAGAAGAGCACCAGCCTGCAGTCCCTGCACACATGCTGCAGGTCACCTGGGAGAGCTGATAGCCTCAAGAGGACCCTGGCAGCCCTACTGTCCCCACAACACACCAGAGATGCATTGGTACCCGCAGGCTCTCCCGAGCAGTGATAGTGCAAGCCCGAGGTTTCCTCCAGGCCCTGTGGCTGGGGAAGGGCAGGGCATTGGCACAGGCATTCAGGAAGGAGAAAATGGGTTAGCTGAAAGTCCCAAGCTCTGATGCTTCCAGAGGAGCAGGCTAGTGGCTGGGGACTTTTCTCCAGGGACCAGGCTGCAGCAGGGCAGGAGCAGACTTGGCTCCCAGCAGCTCAGGAGAAGCACAGGGAGACACAGGCAAGGAAGGGCTCAGCCCGTGCTGGTCATAGGAAGGCCAGGCTGACTCCAAGCTCAGCAAGCTCCCACGTAGCAAAGAAACCATCACCACCACATCAGGCTTCAACAGCAGCCCAGGACAAAGGCCAGACAAACCCCACTTCCCCAGGCTTTGCCATTTGTTTTAAAAATAGAAGTCACACAGCTCTCCCCTCTGCACAGTAAAACATCCCTCTCTAAAAACAGCCCCACAGGCAAGTGTGCAGCGCAGGGACCCCTGCAGTCCTCGCTCTCCAGAGCCAGCTCCTGTCTCTTCCTTTGAGGTAGGTTGACGTGTCCCCAGGGAGGGACGGCAGCTGCCTGGTCACATCACCAGGGCGGTGTCCGAGAGACAGGCAGCAGGCTTCTGGTCAGCTCCACCAGTGCACTTGTTGAGAGGTAAGCTCTGAGTAGGGCTGGGCTCCAGGCATCTCCTGAGGTCCCCACCAGCTGAAGGGAGGAGTGTGCTGCAGGAGAAAGGAGACCCCGTGCTGCTTAGAGGCAGTGAGAAAGGATGAAAAGGGCCATGGTGCAACATTCATCTGCAGTATCATTATACACAGAGCTGCCAGGCTCATCTACTCAATCTCCCAACCTGGGCAGCACCAGTCACCCCAACAGACATCCAAGACATTGATGAGACTTTAGAGTGACAGCTTGATCTCCCTGCCTGCACACAAACCCAACTCCCCTGGCACGGGAACAGGAGCAGGGATGTCCTTTCCCTTAACATCAGAGACTAGGTCTCTACTTCAGCTCACCCAGATGAACCCCAGTCCTCCACCTCTCTGCAGAAGGCTGTTGGGAACAGGACCTATTTTGCAGCCCAGCTTTGTTCAGGGAAGCTCGCAGAGTGCAGCTGACCCAGAGGCCTCACTGCTCCCCCAGCCCCACAATGCAGCTGAGACCCTCTGCTCACTGCTGGCCACATCAGAGCCCACAGAAGTGGTGCAAGTCCCTGTGTGGAACACCTTGTCAGCGTGTCCTGACTATGACAACCCCAAACATCACCCAGTCTGGCTGTTCTGGGCCTCGCTCCCATCTGAGCTGGATGTACAGTGCCAAGGAGACATGCTCAGTCACATAGACATCATGCCAGCCCCACCAGTTGGCTCTCCAGAGAGCAGAGGCTGGCTTCAGAGCCTGCAAGCCAACCTGTTCCTCTGCCCTTAAACAAAGCTGCTTTCCCTGCTGCCAGTTCTCTCTCAGGACACCAGTCCTAAAGCCACACTGTGAACATCATGCATGTCACAGCCAGTGCAAACTCACCCCAGTCTGCCCAGTTCCAGTTTGCTGAAGCCATTTGATTGAACACCAGTCTTCTGGAGGAAGAAAGACTTTGGCAACGACCACTGCAGGAGGAGAGAAAGACAACCAAATGGCTATTTAAGTCATGGCAAAAATCTCCCAAGCCTGCTGTGCTCTGCCATAGACTGCCCTGCTGCGCTTCAGCTTGAACTGCCTCACATTGTCACTGCCACCAGACTGTTCCCAGAATAGCAAACAGAGCAGTCTTTGCTCTCTGCTTAATGAATCCCTCTGCTGTAAGTGGGAGCAGAGCATCTCGAGGTCAGAAGAGTGGGTTTCTTTCACTGGAACAGCCTGCTGTAAGGCACAGGAGTGACAGACGGAGATGGCTCCCTCACGGAGGGGAATAAAGGGCGGGCCAGGTGCCAAATATGTAGGGCTGTGCCCAGTGCACCCAAGGATATTCAGATGCAAAGTACTTGCAGATCTGATATACTGGGTGGACTTCATGTTGTTGGGAAATAGAGAAGGGTGGGTTTTTCCAGATGCCTGCAGGCCTTGGCAGAGAAGGAAGATGACAAATAGGTAGGGCAGGCGTCACAGTAAGCAGAACAAGCAGGCTCTCTGCCAAACTCTGCCCAGGCAAACCACCACCTCTCCCTAGCTTACCCACCGCCATACGCACCGCCTGGGCCAAATCCGTCCCTGCCCCAGTGTGGTAGCCTTTGACACACCAGTTCTTCAGTAGCTCCAGACCTGGTAAGTGACAGAAAAGACAAGAAGCGAGAACGAATGACCAAGTTTGCACGGAGTTAAGCCTTTCCAGCTCAAGGCACACAAACATGCTGCACAGGGTGAACAGACTGTGCAGCACATGCTATGCAATAACTACTTGAGCACGTGCCTGAGCCCCAGCAAACACGGGGTAAAGCAAGGGCGTTCACCCTCTGTACAGGGAGCAGCAGCGCGGGCTGCGCAGCGCCTGCCTCCCTCCCTCCCTCCCACGGAGCCAGGCGCACGGTGCAGCAGGCTCAGCTGAGCACAGAAACTGGGGCAACGTGGGATTTGCTGAATTAGACCAGACTGGCTGTCCCCCTGAGCCCGGTGCCTGCCAAAGGTAGCACCTGATTTGGGCTGCACCGGTGAAAGTTCTTACAGTGCAAATGTAGAGCAGTTGCTGTCACCAGCCCCTTTCCCAGGGGAGGGCAGCACGGGCAACCTCCTCCTTGCACAGCACCCATCAGCTGCAGCATCCCAGTGCATCATCTCCTCCTTGCACAGCACCCATCAGCTGCAGCATCCCAGTGCATCATCTCCTCCTTGCACAGCACCCATCAGCTGCAGCATCCCAGCGCATCATCTCCTCCCTGCACAGATCCACCCAGAACCCAGCATGGGCTGAGACCTGGTCTCCATCCCTGGCAGAGGGCAAGGCTGGCATGGACCAAGCTCACCTGGTGTGTGACTGGAAGGCAACGTTCCTCCAGATGCATACAAGATGCTGCTCCAGAGCACGGGGAGGTCACCTTGAAGCAGAGCCATGTGTCTGACCACACTGAACAGGCTCCACTTCCTCCAAGGCCTCCTCCTGCTACTTGTCCCTGCTTACAGCCAAGCTCCCTGCTCTCTGCTAATCCAGAGATCTTGGGAAACCCAGGCCTGTTCCCTCCCCATTTTATTTTTTAAGATCCTTAGAGCCACAGCACAAGCCAAGGTACCTTAAAATTTAAGAACCGGCAGAGGAATGGCCAGGAACTTGATGCTGTCCAGCTGAGGTTACTGTGTTTTGCTACATGACACCAGCCCTGGCTATAGGAGGAGTCCTTGCTGCCCAAACTCTGTTCCTCAGTGACCTTTCAGCAAGCCCCAGGACCTCGGAAAAAACCCCCAGGTATTGGGGGCTGAGGGCAGCAGGGCAGCTCGGCAGCTCTGCCCCAGCTCTGTGCACCAGCCCAGGCTTTGCACCTTGCTGGCCAGGGAGAGAGGAGGGCTGCATGGAACATAAGCAAATGGGAAGGGGCCGGAGGAGCTCAGGTTTTGCTCAGAGGTGAAGAGCAAATCTGCTCGCTGGGCTGCTCTGGGGAAGCTGGAGCACTGAACCAGGACCCCAGCCTGAGTGGCAAAGTTCAGGGCAGCACTTCAGTGCAGACGATGACAGGATCTTTCTTCCAGCTGACAGGAGAGCATCCAGCAAAGGTATTAGCGAGGCAAAGGATGACACATGCTGACAGTGCAGCTGGAGAGGGCTATGAGGTTACTGTCTCTCTGTGAAAGACTGTTACCAACCCCTTTGATATTTGCTTTAACACCAGTGAAAAGTCACAAAAGCTTTTTTTTTTTTTTTTCTCTGCATGACAGCCAGGCTAGGAGCACAGTCTCCCCGGTGGAGGGCTGGCTCCTGAAGCCTCTCCAGATAGATCAGATGCTGGCTGGAGAGCCCTGAGCCACAGTCTCTTTCTTTTTATGTTCTCTAAGCCCTCACACAGGACGTCACTGGTTCTCTCTCCTAAATAGCCTCTACTGCTGCCCTGATAGAGACAGCCCTGGGTGAGAAGGAATTGGCCCAGCCCAGCTATGCCTCATTAAAGGATGTTTTTTGTTAAAATACAGAGTTGTGTCCTGGAAAGGTGGAAATGATAGCTAGATTTCTAGCATCTAGGAAAAATTCCTCTGGGTGCATGCTGAGTTTTTCGTCAATTAGAAAGCAGCAGGAGACCAGGGAATAGGCACAGTTTTTCCTTCACTTCACAGATCACCTGTAAGGAGCAAAGCCCAAAGACTCCAGCTGTTTCTCCCTCAAAAGGGGGCAGAGGAATGCAATAAGAGGCTAGAGCTACAGGTTGAAGGCAGAATCCCAGCCTTCTTCAGCCCCAGGACACCTAGAAGTGCTGGTGCTGCGTTTATCAGAGCAGTATACACCTCTGATCAAGTCAGAACAAGCTTTTAATGACATTTGAAGCAGTCAAATGTCCTATGGCTAGTGTGCAGGCAGGCAGCATCCTCGCAACATGCATAGCTCAGAAGCCTCCCATGACCGCTGCAGGCAGCCTGCCTGACTCACGTGAGTGTGCCCAGCTCTCGGATGGCAGTTACCTTTGTGTTTATTCAAGTAGTATTTGAGCTCCCACTGGGTCACCAGGATGTTGAAGTAACGAGGCTGCTCAAAGAAGCGCAGGTACCGCATGGAGATGTGCGTGGGGAACACTCGCTCGAACTGCCCACGCCGGGAATACTCATCCTCTGTCTCCACCAGGATGCGAACGTCATCTGGGGTCAGGATGTCCAAGACAGAAGAATAAAAATCCTGCAGGTAAGAGCAACCCAGGGTCAGGGAGAACTGAACTATGTTTTCTCAGTCCCTCTTCCCACCTTCCCACTCCTCAAACCCTCCAAAGGTCTCCATGTGTCTGAGATCTCTGGGTCACAGACCATGTGGAAAATGAAGAAATCTAGGCTGAGTGGTGACATCAACACTGCACAGAGCTGAGAAGATCCCCAGTTCTCCAGCCCAGCCTCTCTTACAGGCACTGCCAGGTGGCACACAAGACAAGCGTCCCTGCTAACCTGCACAGGGTCAGCAGGCAAAGGCTATGAGAGCTGCGCAGACACGAGGAGGAACAGACAGTGCTCAGACGCTGTTTGAGGACTGGTGGGTAACGTGCCCCTCAGCATGTGCCTATTTTAATGTAAAGATGAGACACTGCAGCAGTGGCTTAAGCAAACTCAATTTATTTTTGACCAGTTGTCTTGTAACCCTCTGGAGCCCCAAGTGCTCCCCATCATCTGTCTGTCCCCATGGAGGGGCACAATCTGGAGAGGGACAAGAGACAGACACGTGGGACTGGTTGAGACAGTGGCTTGGCAGGATGGTGTAAGTATCAGAGGAGATTGTATTGTACCTGGTCAGGTATCTTCTGCGTCAAGTAATAGGCCTTCTTCATCTTCTCTGCTATGAAATGCTCAGATGCTGACTTGGGCTTCTCCTTCAAAGCACTGCCCAGACTGAGGACACAAGAAGAGGCAGTAGAGTATTTAAGCAGAGAAGATAAAATCCTGTCATGGCAGAGCTGTTCCCAGCAGCTGTGAGAGCAGTGACACCCTCAGGAAGATGCCGTGGAGGAGAGAACACTTTCTCCAAGGATTTCACCAGTTCTGAGATCAGTGATGCACCCACAGCTTTGTGCATCAGCACAGGACCCAGGAAGGATGTGGGCAGGAGAACAGGAAGGGTGCTGCAAGGTCCTCGCTAAGCATTCCAGCGTTCCTTCATCCGAATGGTGAACCATCACCTCACACCCACATAGGATGCAAGAGGGCCAAAGACACACCATGACCCGATTCACAGCACCTGAAGCGTGGTGGGATCTCATGGTTACATCCTGCTTGGAACACAGCTTCCTAACTACAACAACAGGGCTGGGGGTAGGAGTACTCGGTACTGACACTGTGCAAGGAAGGAGAGAACTCTTAAATCAAAAACTTCCTCCTGCAACTTCCAAGAACTCTCAAGACTTGAATTCAGCTCCAGCTACATATGCCATGGCAAATCCCGGCCTTTTGTATGATCTGACCAGCAACCATCTAAACTATTCTAAGCTCCCAACTGAACCATTTAGGGATGCCAGAGTCAGTCCAACACATTTTAACACTTATATCAACACAGCTGATTTGTTCTGCTGCTGCAAAAATAATTAGTTGTGTGAAGATCCAAACAGGGAGAGCAGAGCCTCAGGACTGTGCTGCATGGTGCTTGGGGAACATACAGACCTACTGGAATTATGCCAATATACAAAAAACCCCTTCATTTCTTTCCCAGGGCAGGACATAAGGTTAAGCAAGCTTGCCCCCAGATGCAGGAACTCTGGTAATGCATCATCTGAACCACGCTAAGGATCTTCTTAATCCCCTGCAGGTCCCTCAGTGGACACCTGCCCTTCAGCACCTCCGCCGCAAGCCGCAAACGAGCGTGTGATCAAAGCGCCGCAGATGAGCTGGCGAGAGCTCCCCGGCTGGAACGGGCCTGCGCTCCAGGCTTCTCCCTTCGCTGCAGGCACAGGGCAGGTGAAGGGCAAGAGTCCCATCTTTCGGTGTGCCCATACATCACCACGTGCTGGTGCTCATCCCAGCAAGCTGCTCCTTCAGTGACGCATGGCCAGCAGCCTCTCGGCTGCAGGGAACAGGACTGGTTTCTTTCCCCACCGTCAGGTTTGAAACCAGTATAAACCCAAGCTGTGGTGAAACACAGAAGGAGCAGGGGCCTGGGTGGACACATCCCCAGGAATTAGCCTTATGCAAGAAACAGTCACGTTGGCTGCAAGGTAGGACTGTGCACACCTCTATCCATAGGTCTACAGGCTCTGACACCTGCAGTCCTGTCTAAGGAACATATCACTCCAGCCTTTGCAAAATAACAGGTGCTCCTCTTGCTCAAGGCAGCAGCACGTCAGCCCTGAGGTAGCGGGTAAGTGGATCCAAGCCCCAGCACAGCCAGCCAGCCCTCCAAGCAAATGGAGAGGCAGTGCAGCACAGCATCCCGATAGTTCTGGCCAGGGGAAGGAGAGAGCACGACTCGACTAACTGCAGAGCAAGCACAAATTACACTGGCCTCACTTCTAACTATGGACCTGCAGAGAGGGCATAAATCCTTCTGCTTTGAAGAGACCACAGGAACCAGATACCAGGCAATGATGCAAGTCCCCCAGACCCGTAGCTGAAGGACCAGCAAAGCACAGGCACAGGAACCAGTGTTTGCTGGGCTGCAAGCAGCCCCTAGATGAAATCCCTCGAGACAAAAACCTATGACTCTGACAGAGAAGGGGGCTGACCTGCAGGTAGAGCCACTTCTTGTCTGTGGCCTTGAGGCCCCACTGTCTGTGCTGGGCAGAACGAAGCCAGCGAGGTTGAGGAGGTCCCGGATCATCTGTCCCTTGATGCTCACATCCAGCGGGGAGTTGGAGTGGAGGCTGCAGGGAGGAAGCATCACAGCAGTCTGAGTGCTAGAATGGAGGCACCAAGCCCCACAGCCCTGAGATCACTCCCTGGGTTAATATCAACCAGGATACAAAACCCAGCCTGTCCCTCCCTTGCCTCATCACAGGCAGCCATGAGACACTGAGAAAAAATCCTGACAACAGCTCTTTGAATGAGGGCTCCCCATCAGAAATTGTTTATTTCTCCACCATCCCCAGAGCCCTGTGTGGGACCACAGCTCTGTGTCTGGCTCATGCCCATCCACTCTTGCAGGCAGGAGAGGCCATGCTCAGGTACACTGCAGCTCCGGGCCGTGCCTGCGCAGCCAACACCGCGCAGCCGGGTGAGCAAGGAACGGTGCACGAGGCAGTGGAACTGCTGATCGCTTCTGCCCACGCAGAGAAGAAATCTCTGCCATCACCTGTTCCCTACATGACACATCCCTCCCTGGCCTTCCCTGGCTCTAGCTGCAGCATGCCCAGCAAAGCTTTCTGAGCTGCGGATGGGTGTCGCTTCTAGAGACAGGGAGGACTTTGATTCCTGCAATCTGGAGAGGAAGGCTTCAAAGCCCACAGTCTTTCAGCATAGGGCACAGGGGACATCATGAGCCAAATTCACTTTGTGGTAAAAGAAAGGCTTTTATCCACTCTGCTGTGGCTCAGAATCTGCTTTACCTTGGGGAAATGTTGACCTCTAAGATCCAGGGCTTGAGGTTTTCATCCAGCATGATGTCAAACCCGAACAGTTCATGGCAACAATACGGCCGCCGCACATACATCTTCACCAGGCTGTTCACGTAGGGCTCAGATCTGCAAGCCAAGGAACAAACGCCTGTTCCCAGCACTCAGACAGCAGAGCTCTGGCTGTTCACAGCACAGGCCGACAGTTCTGAGAGCGTACGCAGGCACACGCTGCAGGAGTGGGTGGGCTGAGAGACCAGCGCAGGCCTGTGAGCTGCTGCTGCACTGTGTATGGATCCGGCACTGCATCCTGAGCACCCCTGCTCTGTCAGGCAGGATCCACCTCTGAACACACCCTCTGAACCAAGGCACTTTTCTTCTCAGGCACCCTGGCCAAGCAAGCGAGCGGGTGGCAAGCTGGGCAGAGTGCTGTGTTCAGGGCACCCTCTTGGCCTCCCCGCTGCACTGCAGGCAGCCCCAGGAAATGGAAGGTCTCTCAACCCATTACAGCTACTGCAGCATGAGCACAAGTAACAGCACGAAAGGAAGGATCCAGAGAAATCCTGAAGCCAACAGCAGCACTAGCATTTAGATTAAGAGCAAAAGGACTGGGCTGAGAGGGGACTGAAGAGTCAGAAGGGCCAGGGTGCACCCCACAGCCAGACACAGAGCAAGGAGTGCCAGGACTCACGCAATGATGGTTTTGATAACGATGTCCTTAATCTTCTCCCAGATGGCCTCACTATTAACTCCCTTCTGGGTCAGGTAACTCCAGAGAGCTTTGAGTGCCCTGGGAGAGAGAAAGCAAAGGAGGTAGCTCTGTAGCACCCTGCTGTCCAGCCCTGCTAGGGGAGTGGAAGCAGCAGAGGGGAGCCTTGACAAAGCTCTTTCCTGGCATGGCCATCCTTCTGCCATCCTCAAACCTCTCAGGTCCTGGTTGCTGCTCTCCCTAGCCTGGCCCCTGGTCTTGTAGGCCCAAGCTACTAGGAATATAAATCTGTTATAGCCTTGTCCCAGCACTGGAGTAATAGATCCCAAATTAGCACATAAGCAAGGTATGTCAGGCCCAGATCTTCTCTTCCCTCCCCCTCCATGTCCTCAGCAAACCTCCCCCTCGGTGTCCTCAGCAAACCTCCCCTTCCTGCAGGCCTTCCCCCGCAGCAATGCAAAGCAGCTCAGCATTACCCCTGTAAATCTTTTAGCTAGAGCCATTTCACCCAGGCTTGGGGGTGGAGAAAGTTCTTGAAAAATGTGGAGAACAAGATGGTAGGAGGGAGCGTCTCTGCTTTTATAGGAGTTTCCCACACCACACCGAGTGCTGCAAACTACCCTGACGCTGAGCCAAGGATGCTCAGATGTTGCTCAAGTGAGACCATGTGGCTAATGGCCAGGAATCCAAAGGTCACGCTTCCTGCATACAAGATGGAGTGGATTACAGACACTCTCATCTTTAATGTGGGAGCAGCCAACTTTGACTTGCACGGCAGTACCAAAAACCCACACATTCCCACCCCCATGGGATTTCAGCTGCTGGGGAACAGCAGACCCTTCTCAAAGTCCCAGTGGAGGAACAGACCACTGTGCAGCAGGTCCAGGCCTGAGAAAGCAATCCTGCCACAGCAAACCACCTTCTGCAGCTCTCTTTGAAGTGACGTAGCCGTGCCCAGGCCCATGAATTGAGAACTCTATCCTGCACTATTTTTAAGAGTTCAAACACTGCTGTGGAATCAGAGACAAGTGCCTGGGGCCTTGGATCAGTCCACGCATGGGACAGCAGGGAACAGGAACTCCTGCAAGATCGCAGCCCTCCTCTCAAATGCTTGGAAATAGCACCACTGCTCCTATTCACACAGACTAGCACAGAAATTATCCATTTTGCACCAGGACTGTCCCTTTGTCTGACTCCACAGGGAAGTCAAGAGTGAGATGGGCCGAAGCTCCCATCTAGCCAATTTAAACATCACAATTACCCCATTCAAAGTTCTAGCAGCAAAAAATCAGATTCTGCTTTAACCACAACCCATCACCCCTGCAACAGGGCAAGGGGATGAATGAGCACAGACGAGAGCAGTGTTGGAAGCAGGGAACAGCACAGGCACAGGCAGGATGAACGGCAAACACAGCCCAAGCAGCAGCGGACAGGATGAGTCACAAGCCAGGGAGACCATCCAGACTCCATCGACACTAACTCATGCTAAAATCACTCTGCTCCTCCAGTTTCCCCAAGTGGGAGCAGATGATACAGGAAGCACCTTCAAGTTTTGGGTAGGAATACTGAAAAAAGAGTAAGTTAACAGGGAATAGAAAGAGTTTCCCTGTGCCCTAAAAGCAGTACCTACCATTTGTGTCCCTGACAAGCAGTCTCATCCGAGTTGGACTTGTACTCCGTGTTCTTCTTGTTCACGCTGTAGTTGGTCAAGTGCATGAACTTGTTGCTGAGGCTCTTCATCGAGGAGGAGTACCTGGAGGAGGCAATAGGAGCACAAGCAGTCTGAGCTTGAACTGGCTGCACCGAGGCCCATGGAGCAGGCAGGAACTCTGTTCTCATCTCAGACCACTCTTGGCCACCCACCAGCTCTGCTGCCTCCCTTTCCCAGGCTGCCTGGAGCTCTCTGTCCCCATAGGCCCAGAGCTGATGAGACAAACCAAGAGAGACAGAGCAGGCTGCCTTGGGGCAGTGGGATGCAATCCCTCCCCTTACAGCATGTCCTTAAGAAAAGACCAGAGCAGCAGTGAGCAAAAGCACCGACGGAACTGCAGCAGCTTGAGGCAGTACAGTCATAACTGGAAGAAATGTCTCTGTTTCTGTGACGCCAGATCTTACACAGTATGAAGCACAGGCAGCATATTTCAAGAACTGCTTTGCAATGAGCAGACCTTGCCTTGGGAAAAATGGATGAACAAAACATCCTCTCACATTTGCTTTCAACACTGTCACCTTGCAGTGACTCTGTGTGTTTCCAGGCTGTTTCTTAAGCAGAAAAGCTACAGCTTTAAGCATCACCATATACAGGATGACTCCCTCCTGCCCCAGCCGAGGCAGGTACCACAGCCACAGTGCCTTAGAGCTGAGGCAGCCCCCCAGCACTGCTCTCCCACACAACCTACTTGCAGCTAGCAAAGCGAACCAGTCCATCCTTGAACAGGTAGACCCTGAGGGGATCATAGCAAGTGACGTAAACGTAGATCCTCAGGTCGAACTTCTTCCCGCCAATGAGGTAGGGTTTGTGCAGATACCTACAGAGGGAAACAAGCAACATCTCTAGCCCCAACCTCAGAAGGCTTGGCAAAAACCAGGGATCAGTGCAGAAGACCTTTTGCACAGCATTTCCAAGTTAAGTGCATCACAGTCAAAATGAGAGGGAAAAAAGCTCTCCCATGCACGGGGAGATCCTGCAGCACATGAGCAGCATTCCCTTCTGCTCAGTTCCATTTGGAAGAGATTTTCCATGGCTCTAAGGCACAGTAGCTTTTCCACACCCACAAGACTGATTACAATATTCAGGAACATCTAAGATATGCAGTGGGCCACAGATGGTTTGGTTCAGTGAGCATAAATAGTTGGAAATTTTCATCCAAATCATTTGATTATTCACCCCAGAAGTTCACAATTTTCCATAAGAAAGCTTATCACTTTGCACAGGAAGCAGAGAGGGAGAACAGACAAGCCAACACAGCAGTTCCCTGTCTGCCAAATGCTGGACAGTTTTCCTGCCCTCAAAAGAACCTTCCCAGAAAGCAGCCTCAAACCAAGATGAGCTATTCCATTTTCCTGTAGAAGGGGAAGGAGATTCTGAAGATCCCATTATTTCAAGAAACCCCTTTGACTAACATCCACACACAGCAGCTCTTACTGACACATTCTAACTCAGATAAGAACAAATCATTGACAATTGCCATCTCTTCCCTGGGCCTTCTCTTCCCACTGTGCTTGAGGGCACTGGATAAAGTTTGTTTGCTTCCAAAGACACCAAACCTCAGAGTACAAAGCAGTGGGAGCAGAATCACAGCAGAGCTGAAACTGACCACCTGCCATGCAGAAGCTCCAGAAAGCCCGTGGAGCCAGTTTGTACCTGAGACCTCAAAAATCTACTGCAATAGAGCACTGCAATAAGCCCAGCTGCAGCTGACAGAGCCAGCAACAGCATTACACCTGGGCAGTGGAGAAGCTTCCAGATGCAAACCAGGTGCTTCTGCTCTGCCACACAGCGGCAGCAGCCCAGACCTGCCCAGATTGTCTAGACACTAGGAGGTCCCCAGATGTGTGTCAACCTTGCTTTCCTTCACTCACCTCTGTACCAGCAGTGGTCTCCTTTTGGGGAGCTGGCTCCATTTGTGGATGACCTGGATACCAATGCCTCTTGCTGATGCTGGCTGCAAAACCCAAACAAGAAGAGATCAGATCTTCTCCCTGCAGCTACTGTGGGACACAGAGCTGAGCTCTGCTTTGCACTTACTGGTTTCACAATCCATTTCTGGCAGCTAGCTCCTTCCTCCCATGCTTTCCTGAGTAATTTGATGTCCTGGGGCAGGATGAAGGACTGCGGGAAGAAGTTAAATTCCTTCTTCCCACAGCGAGCCTGCATCTTCAACAGGTTGCGCCACAGACGGTCCTTTCTCCCAATTTGAAATGAACCAGGGAAGTGGTTTAGCTGGAAAGGAAACCAGATGCTGTCAGATCTCCCCACCTCCCTGCAGGCTCTGCTGCTCCCTGGCCAGAGGATACATCCTTTCTGAACACAGTGCAGGGTAATGCTCTTTGCTCCCCCCCAGGATTGCGCCAAGACAAGACTCACCTCCTCCTGAAGCTTTGCAGAGACAAACACTCACATGGTGACCCACACTGGCTACAAAGTCAACAGCTGTCACCTCGTCCCTTCTGATGTCTGACTAGCTGCAGAGCACTAACCCTCAGCCTCTGAGCTTCCTCTGTCAGTATCCTCCACCCCAGTGGTTTCCCACTTGCTTCTGAATTGTATGCCAAGACTCCTTCCCATGCAACACAAGCTCTAGGGAAATAAAGACCCTGCAGCAGGACAGGAACAGGGCTAGAGGCTGCTAGCTTCCAAATTTAGATGCTGCCTCAAAACTGAGCAGTTAGGAGCATCATGGCTCTCCAGAACAAACATGTATGTGTGATAGATATCACACCTCTGGTCCCTCGCATGTTCCCCAAGCCATGGGCCACTCCTGACCCTTTTGTGACCTGAGTTTTGTGACCTGAGCAGGGAGGGCACTGGCTCTATTGCCACAGTGAGGATGCTCACCCAGCTGTGCCCGTCTCTTGGGCTGCTGCCCAGCTGCCACATTCTGGAAGGGACACTGCAGGGACAGCCTGCACAGGAAACACCCAGCCCTGGAGAGAGGGACACCCAAACTGCTCCCAACGCACTCTCCACGCATGTGAAGGAAGTCAGCCCAAAACATCCCCTACCTTCTGGTGCTCCCTGATGGCTCTGAAGCTGGAGGATTTCATGTGGTGGCCCCAGCAACCCAGCCAGTCATTGCTTTCTGCAGGAAAAGCAGAAAAGTCCATGACCAACTATCCTGTCACCCACAATGCCCTCTCAACCCACCAGCATCCCATCTTCTGGGGCCAGCAGAAGCACACCAGGGATGCTGCACAGCAATAGCACAAAGCATTCATAGTGGCTACTGCAAAGCTGCCAGACCAAGGGGTGTGAGCAGGATCCAGTTAACCAGGTGGGTCATATCCTTGCAAACACGACTGTTGCAGGGATCTGGGCAGACACAGGGTCAAAGGAATGTCTTTAATCTCCCAGCACCCTGACTTCCCTGCCTTACAGCAGGTGAATGAAGCAGTTGACTAATCAGCACTGCACTGCAGAGGAACATATGGGATTGCAAGAAGTCCTAGGTCTTGCTCTGCCCTGTGTGTCCCATTATAGCCCCAAAATGGTCTGTGCAGAGGTCTCCTGATGTGTGCAGGAGCCCTTTAAGTACTGCTGGGAGATCACACTCCAGGATATGGATCATAGCTGCAAATTCTCAGTGCTTCCCCAGCCCAGCCCTCTCCTACACATCTCTTCAGCAACAAGATCCCAACCCTGAGAACTCTCTGGCTATAATCAGAGAGGAGGGCTTCCTCCTCAGCACATGGGGACAAAGGATAACAGTACTGGGGTTGGCACCAGATGAGTGTCAGCCTCCTTAAGAGTGGCAGCACCATCTAGAGGCACAGCTCAAACAAGCAAGAGCACAGCTCTGCTGCCCCACACACTGCCCCAGCTCCTGACAAACCAGGAGTAAGTCCTTTTGGTCCATGCCAGGGACAAGCCAAGAGGGAGATCAGGCCCTGACAGGCCCCACAGAGCTTGGATGTTGTGGGTCAGACAGGCAGAAGTGGGAACTCAACATCCTGCAGCGCTGAGCCTGTATCGCTCCTGCTCTGCTCTTCGCAGGCAGCCTGCCTTCTCATGCCCAGGGGCCGGAGGTGAGGGCAGGTGAGGTGTCAGATGGTGCCACCCTCCCACAACTTACTTTTGCTGACTCTGAAGTGGGACCTGCCAACGGTTTGCTTCACTATGTTCGGCGTGACTGTGCACATTTTCCATCGCAGCAGCTTCCTCTGCTCCCAAGGCAGCTTCTCCACTAGGAAGGCAAAAAGATAAGCACAGAAGGAAAACAAACACAATACCTGGGTTTTCTATAGCTGCACCCAGGGACATTCTTACGGCTCGTGGCACAGGCACCAGGCCTGCAGAGGAGGGTGTGTAGCCCCCTTCACAGAACTAGCACGGAGCAGAAGACTCCATGGCTGCAGGAGATCCAGGACACTGGAACATTTGGTGGCAGCCTGACTCATGCTCCAGGCTGTGAGAGCAGCCTTGATTTTACTCCAGCCCTTTGGATCTCCCAGCAGTGCTGGGTCTCAGCACTGGAAGGGTGAAGGGGAGCCACTGGTAGCCAGCCCCTGGCTGTGCACTGGTACCACAGTGCTTGTTAATAACAGTCTGGCTGCTCTCACCCTGCATGGCAACAGGCCCCAGCTCACCTCTCTCATCTCGAGTACTGAAGTAGATGGTTGGAGGCACATTAGGGAATAAACTGCTGACAAGAGCTGGTTTGAGCACTGTTTCCTGAGCCTCAGCGGGCTGGGCCAGGCACTTGATGCAGTTCCTAGGAGAGATGAAGGGGTAGGCACTTGGTTAGAGGTGAAAAGTAGCACAAGGAGGAAGGGGAAAGACGGAAGGAGCCTTGATCCTGGTACTGGGAATTTGCATCATCGCGGTGTGGTACAAGCAATGGGTGCTAAGGTCAGTAACCAGCCTGAAGTGACAAGGGGATGAGCTTGCAATGAATGCACATGTGCGTGTTCTAATTCCCAAGAGTTATGGGTTTTGCCAGGGCAAGGAGTGGATTTTGTCACATGACAAACCCTATAACCTCGTCCACAGGAACAAGGGGTGGAGGCTGCAATTCATATGTGATTCAGCTGTTGTAACCCTCTTAGTTTTGGTGTGTTGCAGGGAAGAGGGCTGGAGTTATAGTGACTGTATGTACAACCTCTTACCACAGCAATCCCTAACGTCTGGGAGGAAGGGTAAAATTGTTGTACAACGTATCTATTAAAGTTGTGATGACACTAGAAGTGGAGTTTATAATGAACATATATTCAAATATATGCCACCACAGGCAGTGGAAGGACCCACACCAGAGCAATCCACTAACAAACAAGGAGCAGCAAAAGAAAAGAAACCACAACACATTGACATAAATCTCCCAGGCCACCCCTCACCTCATTGAAGGGACTGAGTGTAGCCTGCAGCGAGGGGGTGGGAGACCAGGTCGGTTTCTAGCCTGAGTCCTTGTATATATTTTTTTTTTCAATACAAGAATTGGTAATTAAAAGTTTGTTAATTGGCAATAAACTATATTGATTAACATTCCCTGGCCCCAAACTGGTTTTGCCCATGACGGACTGAAGGTAGGAGACAGCTGCAAAGGCTTCAGAGATGTGGCCAACATCCCTCCCTGCCACAGGAGGCATTTGGCCCAAGCGCTGCCTCCCCCAGCCTGCCCCCAGAGGCCAACCAGCCCGGTCCTGCCAGAGAGAGCTGCTGGTCCAATGTACGTCACCTCTGCAGGACTTTCACAGCCACATGTGCACACCCAGAGCCCTGCAGCACCCTCAGGTTCAACACTTGCTCGCAAGAAAGCCTTCCTTGTCTCCCGGGTGAGTTGTAGTGTGATGGAAAGCAGTAAGCTGTCACACAGACAGCAAAGCCCAAGGCAGCCCTGGTGCAAGGACCAGCTCCCGTTGCTGGCAGGGCAAGAACAGGTCTCACAAAGGTGGCTCCCACAGGAGTCATGGAGGCAGAGCTCAGATGACCAGAGGCTGATCAGTCCTCCCTGGAGAAACCTCCTTCCAAAAGCTAAAGAAAAATCCAGGCACCAGGATTTGTTTCTAGGACACAGTGCTGAGACACAAGACCCCAAGGAGCTTTTGCAATCTCTGGCCCAGGATGCCTCTGCTCTGCGTCATGTGCAAGGCAACCACCCTGCAAGAGCATAATTTAATCCAGTAAGGCTAACCCAGCAACTGGCAGTGGCAGTGAAATTAAGACCCCTGATTTGCTGTGGTGGCTGCACCCTCAGCACTTTGCAGGCTGCTCTCTGTAGCAAGAGAGATGGCTTTGGTCTGCAGGGTAGCAAGGAAGCACATTTTGGTTGGGAAGCCTGTTGTTACCTTCATTCCATTCCCCCACATGCTACAGCTCTCCTCTGTCAGCAGGGAGGACAAAGACAGACAATTTTGGACAAAGATACCAAGTTCAATGCGCTATTTACAACTACTGACCTGGATACAAGAGTTGCAGAGCCACTGGGTGACACATCAGCGACAGAGGAAGCATCTGAGTCACCTGCAGGAGGGGACAAACTCAGGTTTTGTCTCTATGGAGAGTGAATGCACAGTTAGGAAAGAAAGAGAAAACAAATGTCCCAGGGGACAAACCCTTCCCAGCTGCCCCAAATCCTTGGATCCTGGGTTTTGCCCATGAATTGGTGGCATAAAAGGCAGGGCAGGGGTTGGAGCTGCCAGCCCTGCACAGGGAGGAGATGGGTACATTTTGGAGCAGGACAGTGGTGAGCCCTAGCCTGCTCCCCAGAGGAACACATGCAGTTCCTCCTTGCTGCTACGTTGCTTTTGGGTTCAGCATAATCTCTATGTCATCCTGAAAGCAGAGCATGAACGTAAGACAGGAGGGCAGCTGTGCTCACCCCCAGCTCCCAGACATCCCCCACACTCCCCTCTTCAAGGCACAGAGCCCAGCCCTCCCCCCGGGGAACCAGCACTCACTGTCCTCGTCCTCCTCCTGACTGTAGCTCTCGTCCAGGCCATCAGGAAGTTCTTCCTCAGCTTCGTCCTGGGGTTGGCTCAGCTCCAGCGGTGACTGCTCAGCACTGACACTGGGACAAAGGACACCACATCAGAAGGAGTGGCACATGTTTTCTGGGGCCAAAAGACCCAGAAGCCCACGAGGTAGGGTGAAATAACGTGGGCAGAGGAGTGACAGCACTGCCCTCCAAGCACTCATCCCAAGCTAGCAAGGCAGTCAGGCCCCAGGGCATCCTGAGAGGGAATGTTTTCCAGAGCAGCTAGAAAGAAAGAAGCATAAGGAAAGGATACCCTCTCCTAGCAGAGCAGGAGCTCTGTGTCCTTGCACCCTCCTTGTCCTGCATCAGCTCCATGTTCCTTCAGGAACTTCAAGGTCTCTGCCCAGAAAAGC